GTTCAGTCTTAGACTATGGTTGTATTTTTAGATTAGATTAGATTAGATTAAACTTCACTGTCATTGTAAAGAGTACAGGTACAGAGCCAATGAAATGCAATTAGCATCTAACCAGAAGTTGAAAATACAGTATTATTTACATATAAAATGCAGGAAAGTAACCATGGTAAGCGGTGCTGTGGTTACAATATGCAAAATTAGGGATGGTAGAATGGTTAAAAAAATTTTGCTGTGTCTATAAATCTCAAGCTACAAATTTAAGACCACTGAACACCAGCCACGTAGCGGAGCAATGCTATAGAAGGCAAGCAGTGAGAGTACTGAAAAACGTCAAGTTCAGTTAATGAAACAAAACTTTCAACGTCATTTACCACACTTGGCCTAAGTTTACTATCTCTTTGCACACTTACTGTTTTCAATATATTTCAAGATATGAGGTGAAAAAATGATTAGGTGGGTAACATTAGCTGAGGTAACAGACTATTAGCATTTGTCAGTTTATATAAAAGGCTGACTCCCTTCCCTACGTAAAATTAAAGCCACATGCTATCTAGTCTGTCTTTTTGTGGTTTCCATATGGCTTTAATTTAATATAGAAGGGGCAAAATGCTGGTTGATGTGCTGTGATGTGCTGAGAAATCGAACAGTGCTTTGCATCAACACAAAGTTGGCGCTGGTGTGGGCACCTTCATTTAAAACAACGCTTTTGAATTTCTGGACACTGCGTGATGCTACATGGCATGTTCGGTGTGCTTTGCCCTTTGTAGTCATCAGTCCATAAAAGCCTACTACATATCTCGGATGTCCAGTTTTGGCATTCTAGTGCACATTTTCTTATTTTGGTGTGAGTTTACATTTCTCAGCGACATCTTGACAGCTACACTTTCAGACTCGCGTTGAGTTGTCTTCTCACAGTGGAAGGTTGGACAGCAACACCTGTGGATATTTTCAGATCTGAGGCAAGAGTGGAGCTTGATTTTATCTCTCTCTCAAACATGACAGTACTGTTTATCTGATTTTGACAGTTTTTGGTGGTCCATTGGGCCAAGCACACTTCTTAGGAGTCCATTTTCTCAAAATCTTTTTATCAGTTTTAGTAAACTTTTTTGGCCTCCTCTTCTTTATGCAATAGATTATCTTAAATCTAATCTCCCCAAAAATGTCTCCTAAAAATTTAATAACTTGTCCTTAATGGTTGTTTTGCCTGTAAAATAAATAAACGAAGGGGAGTCTCTGAATATGCAAACAACGAAGCAAGCAAAGAAATTCAAATGTGTCCCATGACTAATATTTTACAATTTCACACTCTCCCTCCTTTAAGAGTATCAAGTATAGATGAACATTTGGCTGACGGCAGACAGTGAGGCTTGCTGCTGGAGAAAGGCGGTGTGGCGTAATATTGCTCTGTTTATTGGTTTTGGTTCCCAGACGGCTGCTTTTTGGGTCCCAGCCTGTTGCAAAGGCAACAAAAGGGCAGAATAATGGGGCTGTGATCGATATGTGGAAAGCGTAGCAACAGATACGGACACCACGCAGAGATACTAACCTTTGCAACTCGGTACATCTAAAACAGGCACACACCTCCTTTTTAAATGTCTGAGAGAGAGATAAAGAGAAAGAGAGAGAGATACTATAAAAATCTCTCATCTCATAACTGGAACCGGGGCTGTTCCTCTAGGCATGAAAATTGGTACAAATATTTATGTAAGCCTTGAGAAATGCTGTGCCACTAACAGAACTGGTAATTTAATTCACATCATTACTCTTAAAAAACATTATCCTCCTGTCCCCCCTGCAGTTGGACTGAGAAAATGTCTGACTGTCCTTGTGCGCATAAAATAGACCGTAAAGCGTAATTGTCGGGTTTGGGGCGATAATGGAGAAGATAATTAGTGTGCTAAAACAAACATTTCACGCGTGCTGCTTTCGTTTGGCGATGGCGGTGACCGCTAGCTGAACTCTAAATTCCATAATGATCCGTTTCGCTCCACAGCTGTCAAAAGCCGCATCAGCTCCCTTGCTCGGTTGGTCCGGGGTAGGAGAACATGACTAGAGTTCGTCGTCAGAGTCGATATCTGCGGTCTGAACCGCTGGTGTGTCTTCTGTGCATTTGGCTTTTATGTGAACAGCAAAATCAATTCAACTCCACAGTTTAAGTCTTGTCTAGTTAACACTCAGAATCCTTGTGTTTCAGTCATGTGGTTTTTCTGTTGTGGCTGAATTTCTAACGTCACTGCACGGCGTGACTGTAATTACATGTGAAAATGGCTAAAATTACTCAGCTTACTTCAGAAGAGAAAAAAAGGCACCTCAACAAAATCGATAAAATAGACTCTGATCCGCATGTACTTTCCCGGGGGCAACAGCTTTCAGTGTATGGTCCTGTTACATTTTATTCCAGTGGCAGATAAAGAAATTATGTGTAATGTGCCACTCTAGTTTTGAATGGCATGTGCCAGTCGCGAATGAAACTTACTACTGGCATATCTGAGTGCTTTCCCACACCTTATTTAAACTATGAATGCAATACATCTTTAGGTTTGTGTAAAACAACATTTTTGCAAATATAGCATACTATGGCCCAATCCCATTTCACCCCTGGCCCCTAGCACTTAGCCCTCTGTTTTGAACGATCACGTCTTGGGGTAGGGTGTCCCAATTTTTGTTGAGATAAAGGGGTAGGGCAAAGTGTTGGGGTAGTTATGGCCCTCCAAATGGAGGTTTTTCAGAGACTCACTCCAAACAGAGTGTTATGGGGAAAAAGAAACGGCAAGATGGCTGCACAAGTGACCAAAGAAAACCAGAAATGTGAGTATTTTCTCAGTTAAAAGTTATGATAACCACTGTATTGTCTTAGCTTAATGTCGTTACAATGTATTATAACTTTTTTTCATAACAAGCATAAAAATAGTATGCTACTGTCTCGGTTAGCTAAATTGCCCATTCTACCTTAAATAGTCCAGCAGTTCGGACTTCTGAAGCAGCAGAATGTAACTTCTGCTCCATTTAAGGTGGAACAGGAAAATTCGAACAAGAAGCTGGCGAATAGCTGACTTCAGCTTCACATGACCAAAGAATTAGGGGTGGGCGATAATAAATAATTGCCCCCACTCTTTGAAGGCATGCGATTCCCTAAATTTAACTAAAGCCTAGAGGTGAGGTGCTGAACTTTACCCTCCTCTGCTATCACTGCAGACTGGCAGGGTCGCTTACAGAGCACCGCTAGTTAATAAGGTAATGTTTTCTTTTTGTTTTTGAAGGTTGTCACACTTCGTAGGGAAAGTTCAACAACTACCCCTTGTAACTCAGTTCCAAGGGGCAAGGAAACACTCGAAAACAAGGGGTAAGGGTGAAAATAAAAAATGGGATTGGGCCTGTGTGTGCTTAATTAGATACAATACCTTTTGTTTAGTAGGTAACTAGATGGCAGTGATCCCTAAATGTCTAGCTTAGCTTAGCAGTGTAACTATCAAAGTAATATGCTTGAATATCATTGCTGTTGGAAAAAAGCCTTGTATCTCAAAAATACTAATTTTCAGGAGAAGGATAAAACATTCTTAACTTGGCAATGGCAAAAATGGAGATACAATGTTTCTGCATGACAGTGACAACATGGAGCCAGCTATGTTTAAAGGAAAGTGACTTGTGGCAGGAGAATTGTTTTATGGCATGGCATGAGAGAATATGACATTTAACATGCCAGTAAAGTGAAGCCCACCGATTCCTGTGACCTAATAGACAGTCGCTGCCACTCAAATGCCATACACAGGAAAAATCAATGGATTAGTTTAGGCACTAAGTTACTTAGCTTTGATCACAACAAAAGGGAATCAAAGAGCTTATCCTGAGCATCTAGACTGTTCTGACCAATCTTGAAACATGAAAAGTTCTTTCCGAAAATATTTTACAGTTGAATACATCAGAAAGAGCAACATACTTGACGCAATCCCTCACTTCTTTTATGCTTACCGCAACCAACAGCACAGCAAATAGAAGGCATCTCGTTAGCTTAGCACAGTCAGGCCCATATTTGGTCCTCAAAATGTCAGCGATTACACAATGTGACATCAATGCATGCAAGGATAAGCTTTTGGATGTGGACAGCTGTCAAATATAAAGAACTAGTTTGGCCAAATACCAACATGGCTACTAAACTGCAAAGGAGTCAAACTACTAATTAGAAAAACGCTAATTGCACAGATGTGCTAGAATTCCACTCAAACATTCAGTTCTGAACATTCTTGATTCTCGTCAAACTGTTGCCTTCACCCATCGCCCGCCTTTGTACAACGCCAAGGTTTATGGTTCAATAACTCCAATGTTGCCATGGAGAGAAAGGAATTCAGCAGAGAGTTTTGATTGACAGACTATCTAAACGCGGTGTTCTTTCATTGGGCTCGGCTCCAGGCTTCACTGGGCATTAACACTAGAGAACAGTACACCAATCTCCACCCAAGGCCGTTTTTAATAAAGTGTTTGTGCACAGTATTCACCTTTTCTCCCAGCAGATTAAAAGGCAAATGTCAACCAATTTGTGTGCCATCGCATTCATACTAACCTTGGAAATGTACTTTAATTAAAAAAGAAATTCAGGTGAAAACTGGCAAGAGCAGGCTGATTTGCCGTCTGTGCATTCAATGTGTTCCCTGACTTCTCAGAAGCCTGCTATGAATTAGCTAGGTTTTAAAGCCCCAGCTAGACGTAAATGGCTTGAACAAGCTGTCCAGACCAGTGGGTGATAGAAAAGTGTGTAGTTATTATCAGTACGTGTAGCATTGGTGGCCTGTTGGCCAAATACACTCCCCCAAAAGAACGCTTAAATTTCTCTACTTAGTCAATCACTGAGACAAGTTAGCGGCAAGGGAAGCCTCACAGAGGCCCTGGAAAGCACGCTTCACGACTCAGGCTGTCAGTGCTGCAGATAGGACATGCCTCTAATCTCAGACAACAGGGCTCTGGCTCTCTTACTGCTGCTCGTGTGTACTTAGAGTGATACTCACGTTAATTTTAATGATGTCGTAGATGAGATAGCGCGGGATCGGCTGTCCGTTCACTTTGTCGATTATCATCTCCTGTTAGAGAGGGAGAGAGAAAGAGAGAGAGAGAGAGAGAGAGAGAGGAGAGAGAGAGAGAGAGAGAGAGAGAGAGAAAGGAATTATACGACTCTGAGCACATCAAATACCAAAGGAATATTTTCAGGATAAAACATTTCATGCATTTTCCTTCAATTTGACAGAACCCTCAAAAGTCCCATTCTCAGAGGATGGGAGACAGTGAACAGGAAAAATGGAAAGTGTTTGTTGTGAAGGGAAGTGAGCGAGTGAGCGAGCGAGAAAGACAGAGAGAGAGAGGGTGGGGATAAAGTGGCTACTGAAATTCAGGATGCACCTTACGCTTAGTAACAGGTTTAATGAACCAGAACAGAACACGTCGTGTAGTCTGACGTGCGGAGTCAGTGCTTGAGACTACTGGAATTAGATCTACACCTCTGCAGTACTGCAGTACTACACCAGCTAAGCTAGGCAGTGTGCACTGTTTTGCTGGATATCCAGAAGACATGCAGAGAAATGAATAATGCAGTAATGCTGTGGGGAAAATTCAATACATAATAAATAAATAAATGCATAGCCAGACCACAGCTGCTCAAGCGCAATGAGTGCTTTGGGCCGCAAAATGTATCAGATAATCATAATTATAAAGACATTAGCCTCCAAAACAGTTAAAGGGTATTACTCACGGCCATCAAAAGTCTAACATCTAACATCTAACTTTTCAAAATGTTTTAGGTGACACCTTATTTTAAGGTTTGCTTCTTAATAGTTTATTATCCATTGACAAGCAATTTATAAATGTTACAGCAAATCGAACCAGATTATTTGTATGCAAGCTTAGAAATGTGGCATAAATGTATTTATGAGTTAATAAGATCTTCTCAAAATTAATGAGCTAAATGTTATTCACTGTAATCATTCAAATGCAAGAACACTTGAAATGATGTTAATAAAGAAGTATAAAGAGGAAATAATGATCTTAATTCACAGTGACCAAACATGGCAGTGAATGTAAGACGTTTCATAAATTAATGATACCTGAACCACGCAATTTTACAGTACCATAAAAAAAAGTGTTCTCTTAAATTACAGTATTTCACTGTATTTTGGTGTAAAGTCCGGAAGCTGATGCCCATTCTTAAACATTTATAACACGGATAGATTTTTTATATGCTCTTATTTAGGGTAAGACAGTGGTTATTCACCCTTCAAATGGCCAGGGCCCACTGGCAGGCCCAAAGCTTTATCACACACTTCTATAATCTAAGAATAGCTCAAGCTGTTTGCACTGAGGTCCCTGTATTACTGAACAATAAGCATTACTATGTAATATGCCTGAGAGGTTAAAGTTCCACTTTAGTTTTGGTCTTGCAAATTGACTAATAAAGATCTTTTAAATGTAGCTAGTCCCTTGGAAGCTATTTCCAATTAATTTGTAAGCATTTCCTAACAGTAAGGCATTGCTAATTATACAATTACTCACCAATACTTCAGGTTTCCTCTTGCAAATGTATTAATAAAGATCTTGTAAATGCATTTTATCCATTGCACACTGTTAAGGAGTTTGTAAACATTTGTAAGCTCCTCCTTTAATCATCATACAGATTATACAGACAGCTTTAGGCCAGTGTTTCTCAACCCTGGTCCTGCAGACCCACTGCCCTGCACTTTCGTGTTTTCCCTGCATCCAACACACCTGATTCAACTAATCAGCTCATTAACAGCCCATTATTGAGTTAAAGTGGTGTGTTAAAGCAGGAACAGCACTAAAATGTGCAGGGCAGTGTGTCTCCAGGATCAGGGTTGAGAAACTGCTTTAGGTCACTTCTACGCTTCTATGCTTGCAGCTGAAATGTGACCGTTTACTAGCGTTAACTATCATGTTTGTTCACTGTGAAGTCAGATAATTATTATCTGCTCATATTTCTATATATTAGGGTATGGTTAATTACTTGCTAATAATTTGGCAAACGTTAAGAAGCAGACCTTAAAATGAAATGTTACCACATCAGTAATATAAATGAGCATGCTTTCTTTGTTGGTTTAACACATTTAATGGAAAGCTAGTGGAATTTTGCCTTTTTTCTTTGTAAAACCTGCAAAACTGAAGGAACAGCTGATAACAGTGGTACCTATCTGGAGAATAATGCCCACACATTTTATCCCCTTGTCATGATGTCAGACGTTTAAACCACCTTTAGGTCATAAGAGTTTAAACTGAAGAATACCACACAACAAGCAAGTATCAGCGGAAAAAGAGGATGAGATATTTGAGGAAAAAAATTTGAGGAAGAATAAATCAGGACCAATAATGGTCGCTTACTGCACAACTAAATGCAAAAACAGTAAAAAGTCATGTTATAACCTTTGCAACTACATTATAACATCACATGATAACAGGAAGAGTGGGGTAATAGAGAGTTTGAGTGTTCAGAGCACAGTTTATATAAATATATAAATATTATATCAAATATATCATTTTAAACTTTGGAAAAAAAAACGGTCAGGCGATAAGGTTTCAGCATCAGTATCAGAAAAAGTGGTTGACAAACCTAGAGTAGGGCTGGGTTGTGGGTTTGCAAGGTGTCACTAAGTTACAATTCCTACTGCAAAGCTAACAACAAACTTTAGCAAACGGGACAAAATAATATTGACCTAATGAGTCTAAATAGGCTGGCATACGATCGCTTTTGTAGTTCTGCGATTATTATTTTCAGTCCCTGCCAAAGCTGTAGGTCATGATGCTCGGATGCTAACAGAAACGAATCCTCAAATGTCTAACGACAAACCACATTCATTACAGCTCTATGGGTTCACGCAGCAAGTTTACAGCAAAATAGGAACCAAATATGTAACATCCATCCATCCATCCATCATCTAAACCGCTTATCCTTCTGGGTCGCGGTGGGGTGCTGGAGCCTATCCCAGCTGTCATTGGGCGGAAGGCAGGATACACCCTGGACAGGTCGCCAGTCCATCGCAGGGCAGACAGACAGACATACACAATCACACTCTCACTCACACCTAGGGGCAATTTAGCACGTCCAATTGGCCTGACTGCATGTCTTTGGACTGTGGGAGGAAACCGGAGTACCCGGAGGAAACCCACACAGACACGGGGAGAACATGCAAACCCCGGTCGCCCGGCCGGGAATCGAACCCAGGCCATTCTTGCTGTGAGGCGACAGCGCTACCCACTGCGCCACCGTGCCGCCCCCCCAAATATGTAACATACTTCAGGAAAAGGTCTTTCTTCAGTGAAATAGATATGATGAGAATGAATTGGCCTTCCTATTCACCAGCGGCGAATTTTTCCCGTTTCACCTTAAATGGTGCAGCAGTTACATTCTGGTGCCTCAGGCAAAATATGGCTCATATGCTCATCAGCTCCCAGGATTGGCTAAGTTAAAGAAATACCTGTCGTCAATCACATATGTGGGCTAAAAATCGTCTGATACCGATACACAGCCAATCGATCGTTCCATCTCTACTCTGAAATATTGAAAAGAAGGCAAGGCGCCCCTAAAATTTTGACGGGCAGTATAAAGCACTAAGCAGGTTCGTAATGGTATATCAAAGTCAAAGTCAAGCACTGAAATTCTTAACAGTGCAACACAACACATGACTGTTCTGTCAAATTGCAGTTTTTTCTGAGTCCTCTGAGCACGGCACCTAATCTCAGATGTTCCTGTTCAGTGCACTGAGTGTACTGGCGAATCAAGCATTCGCACCATCTGACGAATGTAATCACTTTTTAATCCTCGCCTTCATCATGTCACTTGGAAATATCAAGTGTGCACCCATCCGTTCTGTCATTATCACAAAGTCAGACTGCAGCCTTAATATGGAGTAATATAACTGCAATATGATACAAACTCAAGTCATTAGCAGTTCAGAGAAGGGCTTCGCTTTTATAGAGTGCAAATATCAGAGAGAGAGAAATGCTTGAAAGTGAAGGACAAAAGGGAAGAGAGAGAGATGACAAAGATAAAGAGAAAGACTAAAGGCACTCAAGGAAAAAGTACTGTAAGCAATCAGGAGGAAATTTTGCAACGCTGACATTCCCATTTCAGTCTAGTGTAAAGAATCTGATGGTGTGATCAAGCCCACTGTGAGGTATGGGGTCCATTCAGTGAGCACAGCTACATTAGACCAAACAAGCATCCAATAGAAGCCCTGCATGCACAATTCAGCAGAACAATCTTAAAAATCCAAAGGAAAACATGAACTACTGCATACAGGGCAGAATTAGGACAGTTTCCTTTGATAATAAACATTAAAAAACTACATTTCTGGATGCACTTGAAGACAAATCCCAAAGAACTGCTGCATTTTAAGGCGCTACAGATCCAAGAACTGAATGCTAATAAACAGAGTTCCCTCAGTCAGCTGGTTCTGAGACCGATTATCCCTCTAACAGCTCCTAACAGCAGCAGCCTCACTCCAGCACTGCTTTACAGCCTCATCTAAACAGTAATCACATCATGAAAAACAGTACGAATCATTATTTGAAACACTGGGAAAATGAAATTAAAACTCTCAGTAAACTGGAACGCTATTGAGCCCCAAAACACAGTATGGACTGGAAGAGCATCTCCCTACTGCCAGCAGAGACAGCACAGGCTCAGTGACCACAGCCTGGCCATAAGAAAGGGCAGGTATAAAGAGTCCTGGCTGCCCAGAAAGGAAAGACTGTGTGGTCACTGTATGGCAGGTGAGGTTGAGAGAGAGATCCGCTTTCTTCATCACGGTGAAAAATTTTCACAAAGAAACTTAAAATGCTGCAGTTTAAATAATAAAAAAAAACAACTAAGCCGAAAAATTCCAAATCATTCTTGGAGAAGAGCACACAGCTCTCCATGCTGCTAAACGTAACATGATGTCACCGCCTGAGAGCCTGGGGGTAACATACTACATCTCTGTTGACCCCCAGCGCCACACATATATAAGGAAAAAAAAATCAAATATATCACCAGTTTCTGAATTTGTGCCTAAATTGTTATTTTTGCTATTATTTGCTACAGTTTATGTTGTTATTGTCATTGTTGCCACTGTTGCTTTGGCAACATTATACTTGACACAGTCATGTCAATTAACCTGAACTTGACAAAGCAGAGTGAGAGAGACAGTGAGACAGAAAGAGATGACAGAGAGATGAAGTGAGAGAGAGAGAGAAAGAGAAAGAGAGAGAGAGAGAGAGAAAGCTAGATGAAGAAATGAGAAGAGAAAGATACTAAGAAATAGAGCAAGAGAGAGGAGGGCAGAGAGAGATAGACAGACAGATGACACAGACAGAGAGAATGAGAGCAAGTGAGAAAGAGAAATGACTGAACGAGAAAGAGAGAAACAGAAAAAGAGACAAAGTGGAGTGACGAAGAGACAGTGAGAGAGAGAGAGAGATAGAGAGAGAGCGCAGGAGAGATAAAGAGTGAGGAGCGTGGAGAGAGAGCACAGTTGTGAGAGAGAGTCTGTGAGAGAGACAAATGACAGAGAGAGAGAGTCTGTGATGGAGAGAGATGACAGAGCTTGTGAGAGAATCTGTGAAAGACAGGTGACAGAGAGAGGAAGAGAGTGAGAGAGAGAGAGCTTGTGAGTCTGTGAAAGAGATGACAGAAAGAAAAAGAGTGAGAGAGAGAGAGAGAGAGAGCTTGGGAGAGAGTCTGTGATGGAGAGAGATGAGAAAGAAATAAAGAGAGGGAGAGTGAGAGCTTGTGAGTCTGTAAAAGAGATTACAGAAAGACAGACAGAGAGAGGCTGAGAAAGAGAGAGCTAAGAGATAAATAGAGAAACAGAAAGAGAAGAGAGATGAAACAGAGTAAAGAAGAGACAGTGAGAGAGAAAGAAAGAAAAAGAAAGAATGAGCCAGAGAGAAAGCGGGAGAGAAAGACCGTTGGGGCTTGTGAGAGAGAGTCTGTGATGGAGAGAGAGAGAGAGAGAGAGAGAGAGAGAGAGAGAGAGAGAGAGAGTTTGTGATGAAGAGAGAGCTTATGAGAGAGTCGGTGGGAGAGTATCTGTGAGAGAGAGATAACAGAAAGAGGGAGAGAGAGGAAAAGAGAGAAGGAATAATGACAGAAAGAGTTTATTAGAAGACAGAAAGAAAGAGAGAGAGAGAGAGATAGAGAGCGCTTTAGCAGGAGGAAGAGAGAGATAGAGATGACAAAAAGTAAGGGGGAGAAACAGAGAGCAAGAGAGATTACACAGAAAGGGTGAGAGAGCGAGAGAGAGAGCTGAAGAGCATATTATTCATTAGTACAGGAGTGGAGAGGGAAAAAGACGCATGTCAAATACAGAAAGAGAGAGAGAGAGAGAGAGAGAGAGAGAGAGAAAGAGAAAGAGACAGAAAGAGAAAGACACGGAGAGACAGAGAGAGAGAAAGAGAATGTGGGTGTAATTAGGAAAAACTGAGACAGTAGCCATCAGAATGAGGGTCCAGTCATCACTGAAGGGGTGGGCAGCCACTCCCCTCAGCAGCAGCTGGTACTAACAGTGGGTTAGAGGAGAACTGGGTCAGCAGCAGCAGCAGCAGCAGCTGGGCTCTGGATCTGCTAGAACATCGTTGGACCTTGCAGGCTGTTATTTGGAGTGCTAAGTGCTGGTAAAATTAGCCCCATTAGCGCTGCTGAGAATCTGTAACCAAAGCTCCGGCACAGGAAAGAAGAGAGGCTTCCTGCTGACTGCATTTACAGGCCTGTGTTTACACGTCAGGACACGTCCACTTGCTCATCTAATGGGGAGCGTGACATCACATCCGATCCATTACTGGTGGCTCTGCAGCGTTCCACTAAATATATTTCCAATTGAATCTGAGTCTGCTAATCGCGCCTCAGTGCTGTCAGTCATCAGAGTGGGCCAGTGAGGTAGAAGGAAAAGGTAGAGGAGGTTCATAAAACATCAAGTACTAATGACTGAGATGGTGAGCCTTGCTTGTTTAAAGCAATACTTCAGTAAGAAGTGAAATTTATACGTCACTGGGTTCAATCAGCCAAGGCATTCAAACGTAGTCAGTTTTATCCATTTGTTTATAGATAAAGAGTATCATACCGTGTCAAAAACAATATAAGTAAGTATACATCAAATTACTACACAGCTCAACAGCTCGTCCACTTAGCTCTCGGTGAAATACCCAATGGCATCTTAAGGGCCATTCCATTACTTTATTAGCACAAGTAAAGTTTATTCAATAAGCATTCGGAGGAGCGAGGGACCAATTTCACCAGCAGATCTTGATCTCGTTAAACCAAAGTTTATATTCAGACAAAGCAGCAGTTACACAAAATGTAAATGCAAAGTGTAGTACTGTGCAACTGTCAGAGACCACCCTTCTTTTATTTCATTTTCACTAAAATGGCCATTATATACGTTTTAAAGAGTACTTCAAGTGGTTACTGGTGTAACATAGGTGCAATGTTAAGTTGGACATATTACAAAAAGTTCTAAAAAGGGGAGTCAGATATGCAGTTTGCACACGCTAATTACTGGAGTATACGCTTCCATTACCAGTGCAAAACTAAAAAGCAAACTTTGAAATATAAACTTTAAAACAACAAAAATAGAACTATAATTGTTATAATTTTGTATTTGAAATATAAAATTAAAAATTCCTTTTAATGTTACTAACTTAAAACTGATATAACCATTATTGTTGTATCAACACATGCTGTAAACTCACCCCGTCCAGCAGTGTGTTGGAGAGGTGGGTGTTCATATCTTTCCGGAAGGGGAACTCGAGGTTGGCTATGTGGAAGACTGAGTTGTCTCTGTCGATCATGAACACCTCGTTCTTGCCATCAATCAGCATCATATACCTGCAGAGCAAAAGCAAAGCTGTGTGTGAGCTACACCAGCAGTCAAAATGTGAAAATCTTCCCCATAACACAGCTAGAGAAGGGACGACAACACATGCTCGAGATTTTTTGCTGAACCGGGGGAAAAAGCCAAAACATTGTTTGTGCCTCTCACTCTGAGCTAGCTTGAGATTTATAAGCCTATAAAAACCCAAATTAAGACAAAAGGCATTGAATGTGTCTGAAGGAAGCAATACAACACAAGATGTTGCGTTGCTGGCACCATCAGCATGGTGCAATGGCAACAGACCAAATAGCAGCTGTGCCAATAAGCTCCCGAAAACACAGAGATTTTGACTTTTATTTGTATCTTGTTGAATTATAGTGCCCATTACATTACAAATTCCCCGGAACAACAGCTATCAAACTCACATAAACCACAATCCTCAAAGCTCATCCTCAGCAGAAGTTTACTTAATGAAAAAGTAGAAAAACAGCTAATATAGCTGAACATCCTGCATGAGAAAAAGTTCACTTTACTTTTAAATTGGTAGAAACATAAGGGAAAAAGTGGAAAAGTTGGAAATGAAGTTGTCAAAAAACCTCAATCACATTTAGTTCTCCACCAAGCACAATGTATCCTCACTTTACGTTAAGTTAATGTGTTAATGCATCAATAATGGGTTAATGATGTTAACATTATATATTATTAATGCATTTTGCCAGTTTGACCCTTCAAACCATTTGCAGCTGTGCAGGCATGTTGCTATGATGGAGTCCACTACTGTAGCCCTCTAGTTCATATACAGCTTTTAAAGCAATACCTTGAGTTCTTTGAAAAAGCTAGTGTCCCTCGAGAGCTTCCACAAGCTGTATGAATGAGAACGTGAGGCTACATTCGCAGAGGAGCTGGAACCAATGACTGACTATATGATACATATGACATATACAGTAATTAGTTGGAACATGCAGCCACTGTTGCTCTCACTGGACATCAGTGATGAAAATAAAGTGATGTTCAGTTCATGTGAACCCTGGGAACTCATGTTATTGAATTTATTGAAAGCAATAAATATAGTACATTGAATTTTATTAACCTTTTGTCCACTTATACAGCTGTAACAAAACGCACTGCCTTTGAAAGAAAAACAAATCTCTCTTTATGGTTAAGTTTAAAGAAATAAGATATATAAAATGCCTGATTATTTTAATCATTTGACAGTCCAGACTATAAGAAATGGCTATTTTTAATAGTATTCGGTTATACATATACTTAGTGCACTAGATATTTATTACATCTTTGGTGTCTATTTTAGGGTCAAACAACGACTAGTGGGTCTCATTAACCCTCTATTGTACAATGTTACCTCAGGGCAAAAAACTCATTTCCCTCACTTTACAATAACATTATACATATTTAAAGTCAATGATAGGGTTAACGATAAAGGGAAGAGTTTGAGTACGTCAATAAAAAGCTTAGTCATACCATCTCTTTAAACCTCTTTTTAAACATTGAGTATACAAACACTTTACATTCATAGGGAAATGTTAGTGTGGGTAATATAGAGGAAAAAACAGTACATCGGGTAAAAAAAAAAGGGAAAAAAGAACATTCAGAAGAAAGAAAAAGATGTAAGAGGTCAGTGTCCAATTCTCACTGCTTGCTACATATGACATTTAATCAATGAGGAAGTGGGGGAAACGCATCGCAGCAGACACAGCACTGAACTGAAACTTCTCTGAGTGTATGTGGTGTTTGGCTGCACTTACTGGCAGAAACCAAAATTACAGTGACAGCAAAGTCACTTTTCATGGCCTGAATGTCATTTCACTCCAGCAAATCACATATCCGCGATGGCATGATATAAAGGCAGAGGATGGACAGTGGATTGACGTGAGGCTGCTTTCGTGCTGGCTAACAGGGTGCAATTCAGCACCATGGCCCTTTTAACTGCTGCTGCAGAACCATGGACAGCTCCCAGAGTGAGCCTACACATAGAGCAGCACTATCACTCAAACACTCGGACTCCGTGATTAGTTCAGTTGTTCATTTTGTAAAAGAAAGGTGCACCAACTGTTGAAAGTTTCACTAATGTGTTCTCACCCCAAGTGTGTGTGATTAGTGGAGACACAGTTAATTACAGGGCTTTGCCTTGAGAATTTCAACATGTTGACTTTGTTTGTCTCGCAGTAGAAGTGATCTGGATCAAAACAGGCTGCAGTTCAACCTAATACATTTTCAGCATGCTAACCCAGATCTGTACTCTTACTTCCACCTACTGTTCTCAAGTAACTCGTATATTAGTTAGCCATTACTGAGGACCCACAGATTTTACAGTATGAGCAAAAACTTCAAAAATAAAACAGTGTCACTTACATTACCAGGCAAAAGATTGTACACGGGTAACTATATATCTACCTCCATCTAAATGTAAAATGGAACTTATATAAATACTAATAGGGAAGTTGACATCTATTTTCATATATACATATATACACACACACATCGCTGCTGTCGGAACAAAACATCATATCTCCAAAATGATAACTTTACAGGAGAAGGGAAAAACTTACTTTACTTTTAATGTAAGTCAATGGAACCAGACTTTTTTCCAAGTCATTTTTGGCCATATCTGTTGGTCCATTCTTCATGAAATACACATACAATGTAAAGGGTGACAGGTATATTCAAATTATGTCAGAAACTGAAAAATGACAAAAATGGAGATCCAAGGTTTTGTTCTGACAGCAGCAACACACACACACACACACACACACACACACACACACACACACAAAAAGACTAGTAAAACCAAGAACACTAGGTTAGCTTTAATAACTTATACAGTTACACAGTCTAGATTGAGATTTAACAAACTAGACACCAACATGCAAACTAAAGTTATGATATGACAAAAAGTTTATTAAATCATAAGCTATTATTCTTTATTTGTATGTCCTTGTCACAAAATTACTAGGAATAGCTGTTTGATCTATGATAATTTCAAATATTATCATTTATCATCAACTTTTGAATTGTAATTTATTTAACAGAAACAAAAACAAACATAAAGGACAAGAATTCAGTGAGGCTCCACATCCTATACTACACTGTTCATATAATTAACGTTTCTGTAAGTTTCTGCTGTGTATTAGTTTTTAAAAAAAACTTGACATTGACAACAGATAGTCATATCTGCCAATTCACAGTTCACAACTGAGAATCATATTAGTCAGTAAACCATTATTAAACTAAAACTACTGTGGACTACATTAAAATATAATGGCTGGTATTATGGAACAATGTTATTGTACAGTATTGGTCACAACATGTTCCTGACAGTTGTTCTTCATTCTCAAATAGAAATATGAAACTGAAAAACAGATCTCCATATTCAAAACACTCTAAACCTGAGTGAGTCACGATGCTATTTTCTTTGCCTTTGTCACCAGAACGCAAAGACAAAATGTGCTAAAATTACAACTTTTGGCAAATGCCGCAGCTTCTAAAAGCCCCTGAAATAGTGAACACAGGCAGGGAAGTGTTGTAAGAGCAATGCTGGGGATTTAAATTCAAACTCTCTCACCCTCACTCACCCACACACGCTGTGGCAGTCACAGGTGGTACACGCTGTTGCTGAAAGTGGTGGAACATCAGGAACCAATTAGAGGTTAGATTAAATTGGGAATTTGGAGTTGATGTGTGAAAGCTGGCAGCTGACAGTGAGACTGAGACGAGTTCATACTCTACAATGAGTCAGACCAAATCCGCTGCACTGACTGCGAGACAAATAATACTGAATCGCATAGTAAGATCAGCATATTAATTAGGGATGTGCTTTCCAAATAAATTTGGAATCTGAGTATCTGTAAGGGTGAATGAATCTCTAACTAGATAATCTATAATGAATCTATAATTAGGAAATTGGCCGACATTAACATAAGAACCAATCACATACCAATTGAAAGAGGGGGTCACAGAGTTTCTGACTGTCACTGGAAGATGGCTCCCTTCAGTCTGCAAGGAGAGAGACCCCTGAGCAGAAAGTGTTTTGTGTTCTCCACTTCAATAGGAGTGAATAAACTGTGTAACATGATTTTCGTCAGCAGTGAACCTCCAACACCTCAGAGCGTTACATTGTTCTGTAATGATTTACAAGTGAAATACATAATTGAATCTTTTTGAATCACCCTGTATTTTTATATAGTTTCCAAAACTGGAAGTCCAAAATGATTAAAAGATGCCTGGAGTCCTGGAGCTTGATTTATCTATCGCTCAACGATTGATTTATCTATCTCTCAATGATCACCAGTCACTAAAGCTTCTTTGATTGTTGAGAGATAGATAAATCAAGATAAATCAAGCCCCTATTCCGCTACAGGTCTGAAAAATTCAGAGGTGTTTCTGCCCATCCTTCCACTGTGAGAGGACAACTCAACACTATAGGACTAAAAGGATGTGTGGCTGTCAAGAAGCTGTTATTAAGAAAAGGAACTAGACAAAAAAGAAGAAAATTTGCAAATCCGCAAAGAAGCTGTTGGTGTTCTCAGAAAAATGGACTGACCATCCCATCCCAGAGTCGAGACCTCAACATAACTGAAGGTGTTTTGGATTACTTGGATTGTGGGAAGTTGAAAATGCAACCAACATCTAAGAACTTTGAAAACTTTGTGGAAAAAATACGCACAGATTTCTTGGAAAACCGAATGCAAGTCTCCTGAAAGAACAAAAGCTGCAATAAAGGCAAAGGGCTGACACACTAAATACTGAAAAAAATATTATTATATTTAGTTGTTGAGGCTCTGCCTCTGACTTTTTGGCTTACTCACAAATAGTCTTGCAAATAAACTCCACATTTATCTGTACTGATAAACCATAAAAATGCCATTTCACCGAGTCATTATATATATATATATATATTACACTGTATAGGATGTCAGTATTTGAATACTGGCACCTCAGACAGTTCTCTGAACACCCATCCACATCCTGATATTTATCAAGCTAAAATATACCTGAT